CATCGTCGGCATATGCAGCGCTAACACCACCTGCTTTGGGAGAACTCTCCGCGGCCACAGGCTCAATCAGCTCATCAACGGGTTCTGGAGCTACCGCAGTCTCGCCGTCCTCTGGCAGTGCAAGTGATGATGTTTCCGTGTCCTCGGCGTCGTTGACTGGTTCCGCCTGGCTGTCAGTATCGCTGAGTAAAATTGTATCCACATCAGGCGCGGGAATTGCAGCGGCGAGGTCTTCAGGTTCCTCGTCAAGGTTGGTGGAGTCTGTGCCAATCTCGGGTTCAGCAATCGGAGATTCAGTCGGAATGGCACCGAGGAGTTGATCGGACTCAGTCAAGTCCTCCACTGGAGTGGCTTCAGGTGACTCGGCACCGAAATCATCGATTGTAGTGGTTCCCGAAGTGCCCAGAACTAGGCCTACAGCGTCTGGGGTAGCCGTAGCCACCCTGCCAAGTCCAAACTCTTCTGAAGCCGTAGCCTGCTCAAATGGTTCATCCACCGCAGTCGATTCTTCATCTGAAGCGATGTCTGAAACCGATGCCGTTGGCAAAATGAAGTTTGATCCATTGAACTCCACCCCAGGGCCTTCAGTCTCTCCCACACCAAAATCATCCTCGGTAATTGTTGGCTCCACTGATGTCGTGTCGGTAGGCGTCGTGTCCACTATAACATCGGCAGTGCCTAAAAGAAGGGCGTCTCCGGTAGATACTGCGTCGCCAACAGCAATCCTAGCGTCTGAATCTGTACTCAGAGGCGCCGGCAAACTAACAGCGGTGGCAGTTCCATCGTTTCCTGCGTCGCTCACTTGTGCATTCAAGGTGCGCGCCAATAGCGCGCCAAACACAAAAACCCTCATGCTGGCCAGTCGCTAGTAAGACAAAACAAGGATCGTATGCGACAGAACCAATCTAAACGAGTGCAAGGGTCCGAAGGAGTGACGAGAAGAAAGCTTGGCCTAGACATTGTATGAGATATGAGGCGTACAAAGATATACATACATTGCCTTGTTGAATTCTTCCGAACCAAGATCAAAACAAGCTTGGACTGCAAGGCACCGAGTGAGCGTATTCCAGGCCTTGGTAGGTAACTGCCAAGGTTGAAGTGCCGGCATGTCGCACAAAGCGTGATCTCGACCTGTGGAATGTCTGGCGACCACGGGTCGATTGTCGAAAGAATGCACCCAGCTTATCCCCTGACTCTGAAAATGCATGAGCGCTTTCCTTTAAAGTCTCAAGGCATACCGGCACGCAAACCTGTCCGCTCGCTGTGGTCCCAAGCCTCTGATGTTGCTTTCCGGGTGTCTCGTTTTCGTTCGTTTGTCGCTGTTGCTATCGTCGTCGTCGCCTGTCACGTACGTATCTGCCCCAGGCATGTCTGCAATAGGTCCAACGACTACCAAAAGTGTCATAGTCATCCAGTGCAACTTTGCGAGCAGCAGCGTACTTCGAACCCGACTTCGTCAACCGATATCACCGAAGCTGATTCGCACTCTATACGGAATTGTATCCACGGCGCGTCACATGTTCTCAGACTTCTCAACAATCTTCGATTAACTCCGCAACACTTCATCATGCTGAGGAGTGTATTGACCTGCGATTCTGGCACCTCCGAGTCTTGACGCGTGTACCTAGGGCGTTGGATTGTAGAGAATGGCGTCCATGGCACTTGCCGTGTATCAAATAACAAGGGCACGCAGGTATGCGCTGATTGTGCCACAAAGATTAGTTGTTGGACGCCCGCTTCGTCATGGCAACCTATCTTCATTATCTCGGGGCTGGGATCAAGCTATTCCGACTGTCAAAGAGATTACCACACCGTGCGTGCCGTCCAAGTGTGGGTTAAGCCTCTGAACACGTTCCATGTTACGCGGTTGAAGTCTGTGAAGTAAGAGCATAAGGCACATCAACATGCGATGACCCGCTATGAGAGGAGCCTATAACCATTTAGGCGTCTAGTGGGAAAGCTAGAGAACGCTCGAGCCCGCCTAGGTAAGTGGTGGTGATGCCAGTAGCGCTACTAGAGACAGGAGGTCAAAAGGAGCCTTGCGAGACAATGACACCGTACAAGATGACGGCAATTCCCTACAGGGTCGTGGAAGACGACGCCAGAAGCCCTTTTACATTCCGCGTGGAGAGGAATGCACACGACAATCTCGCAAAGTAAACCGCATGTTGTCTGAGAGACCTTGCAATCTCTCTGAATAGAATTGAACAAGTGCGATATATTGCTACAGTGTCGTCTTCATGCGCTTGACATTGACTCGAGTGCGATGGCTTGATGATTGTAGAGGGTGCACTTATGTCGGAGAGGAAAGGAAAATGGAATCCTCCATGCCTTTCTTATCGATAAGATGTTGAAAACTAGCGTCTACGTCATCGCCAATGCCACAGCTCGAAATTCCCAAAGCCACCCGGATGAACGACTCATATCAGTTCCGGTACAGTGTGGTATTGCAATGTAGTCGCTATGTTTCCACTCCCAAATACAAGGCAGGATCTCTTGACTAGCTGGAGGATTATGCAGTTGTGACGACGCCCATGGGGTTTTCACATTCGGTAGCAGGAGGCTGCCATGATGGGATCCCAGATTCAGCTGCCCTCGATAGCAGGCTTCCAAAGCTTATGTTTAAGAGAGAGTATATTTGGTGTATACCACCTTGTCGGGTCAATCTGGTCGCCATCAAGCGAGTTCTGTCATGACAGACTACATCATCGTCCACGAACATCATCGCGGTTCTCACATTGCCACGGTGATGTCTGGCAATTGACCTTGTCGAGGATGAGTAAGGTTACGTATCATCAGAAAGAGTTCACGTGCTTGTTCATTCACGATCTTTGCAGATTCGTCTTAGTTTTGGCACCAATATCGCAATGCACAAAGGTATTGTTCTTTGCGGCCTATCTTACATTTGCTCTATGGCAAACAACCCCAAAATGACTGCTATACCAACATCGTTCTCAAATGTGGAGGATCTAATACATATACTCGACAAACTGACCACCCAAGCAGATGCAGTACTAGCTAGTGTCTTTGTTGTTCAAAACGTTCGTAAGAAATACACGAAAACAACGGATCCCACGAAGAAGAGTGAATACGCAACAATTTTGAGAGAGCATGGCATAGCGCTCGAAACAGACTTGGGGATCATCATGCTGAACGCTGAATTGGTCACCGATGAACGACTGGAGGTGTGGGTTGGTGAAGCCCTAAGCATAGCGGACAGAGCAGACAGGAACGGTCGACTAGAGCGGTTGACGTTGAAGTTGCGAAATCTTGAAGAAGCAATGTCCTACTTGAAGGACGGTATAGGGAAAGCTGAGCACGAGAAATATTGAATCATGACAGCGTGTTGCAGTCTAAACAATGATCAGTCCTGCATCGGTAAACACAGCCTTAATTTCCACTTACTAAGCCTTCAATTCTGATCTTTCTTTCTCAAAGTGACAATTCCACCTGGTCTGCTCAGGTAAAGGCGCGCGATTAGGGATATTGCTGCTTTCGCGGAACTCCACAATCTTTCGCTGCCCATTCTCTTCTTTCACAACAGCAAACGCTGCGTTCGTGAAGTACATCTCCCGTTTTGCAAGGGTGTGGAAGCCACCCGCCCAGCCCATTGTGTACACGAAGCCACCCTTATCACCATTGCTATTGGGTATGCCCAAAGTATTGGTAAAGCCGTGTTTGAAGGGCACAAACGATCTCGCGAGACTGGCATTGAATGTTTTGTACAATCGAAGCGAGCCTTCAAAGTCGTAGTGACTTTCATTGAATGTGAAGCGAAGATCCTTTGAGAATGATGCAGCGTGGCCTTCAGGCCACTCGGTGTTTGCTGGGAAGGGGTAGAAGCCTGTGAAGTTGATGAGTGAATGCTTATTTGGTTCGAGTGCTGCGCATACCATTAACCTGGCACTCGACCCAGTTGCCCAACTGGACACTGGCATTTACACTTGGGTCGTCGGCCAAAGAGCACGGATCAATCTGGCTACTACCTTGAGAGTTTGGGACGCGATCCAAACCCGCCAGCGGTTCTTGCTGTTGCAGTGGTGACAGGTAGAGTGCCGAGCATGATGATACAAGGGCGCAGAGCGTTACTGGAAATTATTAGCGGTCTCTTTCGAGGGAGATACGCCGCTACTGCGCAATCTTCAGGTCTGTCCATGAGTGTCTTACCGAGAGACTTTTCTAAATACATGACGAGCGACTAATGATATGCGACGTAAGTATAGTGAACCTGATCAATTGATACCAACCAGGACCAATTTATGGGCAGTCAAAATGCCTGCCTGTCCGTGGCGAGGGCGGCTTAAGTAAGGTCTACTTAGCGCCGTCCGCATTCTGAGGAGGATTTTGTTCATGATGAGTGTACAGCCTTTTCCGCCCCCAGCGCGGTACCTATGGAGGCTGACGAGATGGTGGTGCTAATCTAGGGTGAGGATTAGAACTAAACCAGACAGTGGCAGGGGCGCAGCTGTCAGCCGAACGCACGTTCCCGCTATTCATAGCCCAATCACGATAATCGGTTGCGCGAACCATCGTCGAGTCTGCCTGAGGTGTAGTGTGCCTAAAATGTTCCTGAGCAATCAGAGACGAATGCGGGCTTTGTATCTGAATCGGCCCTTTGAGTGCAGCTGAAGGAGGAATACGAAAGCCGAGGAGGACGAATGACTGGGAGACGATTTATCTCCGGTAGTCCTGCGACGGCACGTATCGCTTTACTGCCTAACTGCACCAGTGATTGAGAGTCGAACGGGAATACGAAGAAGTGCCAATGCCAATCGCGCGCAATGGTAGCGGTTGCCGTGTTAGTTTGTGTGCCCACAGGACTTGATCCAGTAGCGAGCCGCACCTTTAATTGTAGGCCCCACACCCCGATCGAATTACTCATCCATTACAACGAAAACGGTGGCTACAGCCCACTAGTGGAACAAATTTTTGCAGCCCCAGTCACCACAAATGTAAGTTATATACAATGCTAGTTCTCAAATCACCATCAAATCAAACCAGCCTGGTTAGCTCAATCGGTAGAGCGTGAGACTCTTAGGTTTCACTTTCTCAGAAAGCGATTGATCCAATCTCAAGGTTGCGGGGTAAGTTCACCTCAGTACACGATGCAGCTGAACATCAGCTAACGAATTCCTCAGTTCGACCCCCGCATCGGGCTTCAGATTATCTTTCTTTTTTGTCACTTTTTACTGTTCTATCTCTCGGTTTTTTGCCTCTATATCCGACTTGACGAACTTGCTACCACATACGAAACACTTCTTTTGCTACATGAGCAAACGGCACCCAGATAATTCTCTCTACAGCTGTGTGTGTTATTCTGACATGTGCTAGAACAAAATCACATCGTCGAATCCTCTGTCACGATGTTGGAAAGTACCGACTTGGGCTCGGGTGGTGGAAGACGTCGCTGATCAATACCAATACTTGCATTGGGGCGCACTCGAAGCAACCCGAAATGCGTTACACCAGCTTAAGTGAACGGTCAAGGAAAGTCGAGAAGTCGAGACAATGCGGACGTATTATTTTGGCCCAAAGCATTCTCGGAATAGCAAAGGCTCTGAATATCAATTCATAACACTAACAGAACAAAACAGCTATTGCCTGGCTTCGCGATCAAATCCGCTTGGACAAATAAGCCATCTCCTCTGCCCATTGTGCCGTTTCCATGCCAATTTCACCATGCAGATGGTGGTAGTAATCCTGGAATTGATTGATGTAGGCGCTATTAAATTCATTGTTTTCATTCGCTTGTGCCACAGCCCTGCCGTCACTCAATTCTACGCTACGAGCTAGCAAACATGTTAAGTACAATCGGGCATTCAAGTTGAGAATTACGCACTTGTAGCATGTCGTCTACGACGGGTGTATGCGATCCAGAGAGTAAGGGTCGCCACGATGGCTCCGGGAACAGTGAGGGTGAGAGCAATTAGTTCGATAGTCGTGCTAGGGTCCCATCGATGGTTTGCCATGACAAAAGATATAGATCGATACTTCCAGATTCGATCAGGAGAAGCAAGTTGGTTGGCGAGATATCCGCAGAATTTGAAATTGGAATCGTTCCTCTGGCAGACGTCCAAGGTTGCAGAAGGGTTCCCTGGTTTGAGCAGCAAGGAGGGTCAAGAGAAAAGGACATACTGAGTGCGCGTAAAGTGGTGACAGTACCACCCGTTACAGACTAGTCCAGATGTATGTAACAGTAAATGGCTGCATATCTTAATAATTAACTCGATTCCGTCGATAGAGAATGCTGTCATTGGCCGTGCAAGCTTCGTATGCAATGCGACGGAAGATCTATGCAGCCAAGTAATCGTCTTCACACTAGGCAGCAGTATTGGCCAATGAGCTTGTGCATAGTCTTGGGTTGGTGTACATGAGGCTGAACGACACATTCAGTCTAGCGAACAATGTTGTCAGTGTATATACCAGAAGATCACGGTGGAATGTATGTACCCATTTTGAACATATCATCACACTGACAGCAGATTAGAGCCACTATATATGATAAATTAGCAGTATCGCGACCATACTTCCCAGAGTTGAGACATAGACATGGGAAATCTAAGCACAGGTGTACTATATCGCGCTGGTATATTATATGCGCTTAGTATTGCTAAAAGGCACGACGTAAGATAAAAACATCCCCGCTTACAATTCATGCGTTTGCACTTGTGTATGCTTGCGTAGTGGTATGTCGTCCCCGAACATGGACTGGGGCGCTTCCTGCGAGCTTCTTGAGCTCCCAGCTCCCTTCTTAGTCTCCAACCTCTCAACCACAACATTCAGATCCGTCTGACAATGAATGCCGCCCAAGCTCTCTTCACTATCATTCCCGCCTAATGCCGTACCCTTTTTCGTTGGCTGCATTTTCACCGACTGGATGTTCGTATGGTGCCCTGAGCGCAGATCTGAGCGTAGTTGCGGATGCCCTCTGGCCGAGCTTTGAAACTTTTCTTCTGGGTACATATCGTTCTCTGGTCGTCCTTGGGCGAGGCGCACGACCAGTGAGGCCATGGACATTTCAATATTGAGCTTGACGGTGTAGGCGACCGGGTGGAATTGAATGTATACGATCTGGTTCTTTAGGAACAAGAGACCAATCAACATGGCCTAAGATCAACGTCAGCATTCGGATACTGTTTCCATGAGGCTATTTTGATCGTTCCACTTACATCCATTGCAATTGAGACAACCATGAGCTTTGCGTTGAAGCTCACAAGTGGCTCATACTTGGTCAAGCCATGCTGTCGGACAAGCCTCTCCTTGACTGTTTTCAGGAAGTACCAGTTCAGTCCAGCATCCACAATCAGGATCAGTGCCTTCGAAACCTTGTCCCAAATAAGGTTGATTTTGGCGAATGTTTCTGCTCCTGGTGGTGCGGGACTTAGATGTGCTGGGATCCAGATGATAAAGACGGCGATGTTGATGCTAGTGATGATCGCAACAGTGCCCCACTTGAGCCGGCTCACGGTACTGCGATGTTCTGCTATCAAGGCAATTCGATTGATGATAATCTTGATTGGCGATGTCAGTAAGTCATCGAATGCAACTGGCGATTACACATGGCAATACTCACTTGCATCAACAGCTGAATCTCAAAAACCCATGAGAAGAGAATGAAGAAGAGGACCGGTAGCCTACACGAATAAATGAGCATGTTTCTCTTCTGAGCAGTTTGAGAGCTAATACATACGACGGTCCAACAGTCCCATGCAGGAAGAGCCACCCAATAATGGCAATGAGGACATTAGCTATAATTTCACCCCATAACATGTAGATGTACGTTGATCGTAGCGGATTTCGATTCCGTCGTGTCTGTTTGATGGCCTCCCATACTGTCAAGAGCCCGAATCCAATCGTGAAGCCCGCCGCCAGGGCAGCGAGCTGGAAGTCTTGTACCGAAGTCATGGTGCTGCAGGCTCGCGTATGTGCTCACGAACCAAGCTAGATAGATCGAAGGATTCCCAGAAGGAAGGATCGCTTGAGCTTTCGGTGGAACTCTTCATACCTTTAACTCCCGAAAGGGGGGCGCATCCGTTGCCCAGTATACCCTGGACCTCGCGCATGGCGTGTGGGGACCCTGACCCTGCATCATGGTTCCGCCAGTGAAGGAGTTCGCCGCGTAAGACTAAGGGCAAACACCGTGGCGACTCGTTTTGTACAAGGGTACAAAGAATAGCTTAGAGATCATGCAGGTTTCAGCGTTGTCTGGCAGTTGGCTGGCAGCCAACTGACCGAATAAACTGCCCGATGGGTGCCCAAATGGCGGATTCCCATCGAGGCGCACCGTGGAAGGATGACGATCCGAGGCTAGGAACCACGGCGCGGCTTCGGTGACGTGCATCGGACCGATGATGAGTTCGAACGCCTTTGACGAAGAGAACTCGGGACGAAGACATCAAAGGTAAGCAACCACCATAGCTGCGAACGGGCACAATCATGTTCTAGAGATGACCAATTCGTACCATAAGCATATATCAAAGTTTCTGATCCGAAGACATTTGGTGTTGAAGGAGGTAGGTCAACATTGTCGTAGGAACTGGAAACGTTCTCGCTTAATCGCTAGCGCCGATCATAATTCGTCCCAGATCTCCATTCTGTACTCAATAGCATCCGTGCCCATGTTTTCAACGCATGCCAGGAGTCAAACACGCATTTCATCTCCACTCGATCCCACGTGCACGTGCTCCACAGCCCAAGGCCAGCGATCAGTGGATCGCCATAATTACGCGCCTCTTGACGTCCCGTCCGCATACATGCAACCAGCCAGTCAAGCAACACGATGCGAGTTAGGTCAGTGCCACATGCGGAAGTGATTACAAGCTTATCCAGAAGACTCCCTGGTCCCTGAAATCTGCTCCTTTCCTCGAACTTCCCGCAAGCGTGCTTGACTCAGAACGTGTGCTGAGAGCTGAATCACCACACCTCGGCACTATCGTAGGTGAAGTGTTGAGCCCTGACTCGGGCAACTCAGGCGAAGTAGCATACGCGCGTCGTTCGCTGTGTGCAGCTCAGACCAATTCACGTACCTCCAGACGTTCGCGGATCTGGTCGTGTGCTCTTTCATTATACCGAGGTATCAAGCTTTTACTGGCCCTGAGACTCTTTTGGTACGCCATCAGTGCCACGATCTTATTCGGACGCTTGCGAATGAAACACGTGCCACACATAGGTTTAGTCTTCCAGAAGGAAGAGCGGAAGCAATTTGGCTCTATGAGCCGCATCACGGGCGGAGCAAACCTTACACTCGTTGTGTCGGACACTTTCCGAGAGTCGAGAGTCGGGATTGGCTTTGAAAACTGGACTTGTTTGGGGATGTTGTTGGGTCAGTCACCGCACAAGCTCTTTATATCTGACTCGCGATATGTCACCATCAGCAAAATTCCTGCATGAAAGCGCAGCCGTCAAGCCCGCATGCTTGGGGTTTTCGATTGTCAATGTTCTAGAAACATCAATAACCTTGAAACGGTATACTAACTTCCTGCTCTCATTCATCGACTTTCACCTCTTCATTATTCCCACCGCCCAGGAACAGATATCGTCACAAATTTCACTATATCCACTGAGTCTTAGATGCTCGCAACTGCCGCAAACAATTACCATCAACCCCGGAACCATACCCCCGATTTTGATACCGATCACAATCTACACCGACTCGCAGGTTCCACATCCACCGAGTCAAGGCCGGAGGCCCACCCACTTCCGCAGATCTCCCGTACCGTCCCTGTGGATACTTCTCTGTCGATCTTGACGCCCGAGTGTACGCAGTGTCTAGTAGCACGTCACTTCGTCGCTGTAGCATGCCTGATGCAACCAATTCTTTACTAAAAGGTGAACAGGTCTGAGTAATGATCACGCGACAGGCATCAGCACACGAAATTTTCTCACTTTCTTTGATATACCGCCGTACATGTCATCGATCGCATCGCGCTGTCCAGTGGCATATTCCAAGCGGAGAAATTATCTCCTAGACTGCGTGGTACTATATGTATATGCCATTGCGAGATTACAAGAACATGAGCTTGGAAAGACAGCAGATGCATGAGATGGACATCTAGGATGGACATGTCAGGCTTCCTGTCTATGCTTGAGAATTTTGGAGATAATTTAGCA